TGAAACTCCCTGTATACGGAAAATTAATTTAAAAAATAAATTAATTAAATATGACGGTAATAAAATGTAAGAAAATAAATTAAATCCAAGTTTTCGGAACCCCCCTGTATCTTAGTTCCGACCGATCGAATCTCTGGCAATTTAGTCGAACGAGAATGATATGATTTACGGTGATGTTTGGACAACGAAGGCGATGGTTATAGAAAAGATTATTTTGAGATTTGCCAAAGCCGATCAAAACGGTGTGTGAATTAATTATGATAGAAAACGTCGGGCTTCGTTCAATAATTAGTTGTTGACGCGAAACGGAAAGATTCAAATATAATTGAAAGAATAAATAAAAGAAAAAGAAACTTACATGAAAAATACTGGGCGCTTCTTAAAAGAAATTGGATATAGTCATCGAAAATAAGAGCACTCACAGTCTAGCCTATATCCATCCTTAATTAAAAAATTGCCAACGGTTTCCCACTAAGGGATGAAATGAAAAAAGCTGGGCAAGAATCAAAAATTTTTTTCACTTGTCGGACGGGTGTCCCAAACTAACTGTAAATTAAAAAACTAATTTGCGCTTTCCTACCTTAGAAAAATAATCGTGGTTGTTCAGTAGTCTAACAATATCACGGTAACTCACAGAGTACTTCACTAGTCACTGCAGGAGAGAGAAGAGCTTACGGTTGCCGGAAATCAAAAGGGAACCATTATCAGTTGTAACCTAATTTATGCTTTTCCCCTAGGCAAGCTTGAAGACCGGTAAACTGGAGTCGGAGGTGCCACCACTACAGCCGACTGTTAACAATTTAAAAATAAAAAAATGTCCTTCTAGTACCTTGACAAATACAAGTAGATAATTGATACGAAATCGACTCTACAAAATGCCTATTCGGATTTTGGAAAATATAGAAATACTTTAACCTACGAGGGTACTCACAATTGTTGAAAAACGGTAATTCCTGGAAAACAGAAATACGGGGATCTTCTACATGTCCTCAGGCGGGAATTAATTAAAATATTCATTTTTAAAATTTATTAAAAATAAAATTTAGTGACTTCGTTACAGTTGCATCTTTTATGTAAAACATATTTTTTGAATTAACTGTAAATGCATGACTTATAGGAATGCCTGTTCCGGAAATTTCGAGTTTAGATTAAAATCGTCTAAATTCGAAATTTGGAATGGCGTTTCCAGATTCGAAAATGTTTGATCCTGATTTAGGATAGGTGGATCCGTTTTGATTGGACTACTCTCGTCAGAATTTTTACAGTAACTATTATCAACGTAATAGTTTGTAAATTCTGTGTAATTTGCGGATTCTTTAAAATTAAAAATATTATCAGTACAATAATCTTCAACCTGGTCGTAATTATTAGCGGTATATTAATCTTCCAGTGGTTTTAAACTATTAGCATTATAATAGTTATTGTTTCTTCAATATTTAAAACATTCGTTATAGAAAAAATCATCAACATATTCTTGAGGTTTGTCGGAATTGATATGAAACGTTCTTCTGTTGTTTTGATTAAAATACAGGTAAAATTGTGTATGAAAGGATCTTTGATTGTTTTGACTATAATGCAGGTTAGATTGTGTATATATGGTTCTTTGATTGTTTTGATTAAAATTCGGGTTTGATTGTGTAACAGATGGTCTACTATAATTTACATTAGGATTAGGCTTAATAACTGATTCACGATTTTGAATTTTAGACGCTTGTCCTCGTTGTACATTATAAGAATTATTTTGGAAAGGTTGAGTTTGGTTTGAGCCAGAAGAGCTTGGAAAATTCCCTGCAGAATTGTTTCTAAAATGTTGAGCTTGTCTTTGTCTAGTAAGGCATTTATTGATTGTATAGCAGTACATTTACAAAATGAACACTGTTTGACAGGAAAAGTTAATTTGGGTGTATTAACATTAGGTGTATCAACACGTTCTATTCTAGTTGCGGCTGAAGTTATATTTGTAGGGTTACTTGCCCTGACAATATATCCTGTTTCAGGGTCTAATCCGGTTAGCAAAGTATTTAAAACTAATTATTCCACATTTTTTGACCATTTATGCACATACGAATGACAGTTTTGCAAGCACTTATGAAATTATTTAGGAAAATTTTATTTCCATCAAATTCCAGTACTAGGAATTGCAACTAAGCATCAGTGGCGGCTCGTGGGCACTAGCGGCAGTGGGGCACACACTGGAAAGGAATCCCGGGATTCGTTTTTCCCTTAGGAAAACAAGTTCTCCGCTTAATGAAAATAAAAAATATATTTCAAAACAAATTAAATATTACAAAATTGAAGAATAACTGCTAGGTACTGCTGCAGTTGTATACTATTTCTTATAGTTGAAGTCCATTCTTCTCGATTTTTGGCTAGCGAAGTGATCGATGACCAGACTATTAAAATTTGGAATGGACCGAATAAGTGCTTTTTCGATGGATAACATGGCTAACGCGCACAATCTGTCTTGGCACATAGTGTTCCTTAAAAATGTTTTAATACGTTTCAGCGTCGAAAAACATCTTTCACTTTCCACTGTGGTTATGGGAATTGTACACAGGATAGTTAGCAGCTCCACAGATTCCGAAAATGTAATTGTCAAATTGTTCTCAAAAAACATTTGTAATAACGGTACGGCCCCATTGTGTTGCACAAAGTCAACTCGGGTGTAAAGTATGGACAGTTCATTTTTGAATTTTAAGCTGTTTACGTTAGGAAATAAACTATACACAGTTTTAACGTCCTTATTTGTAAAACAACCTCGGTAGTCTTGAAATTTTTCACTATCAAATAAACTTGCATTTGTTAGGTGAGTAGTAAAACTAAAACATTCGTTTACCTTCACTACTGTTGTATCTCAAATTTCCTTACATATTCTTAAATTAGGAATGGGGTCCTCCTTTTCAACAAACCGTCTCTTCTTGCTTGTACTTGGACCTGTTTGGGTGTTGTCGTTTAAGTTTAGTTCTTGTGGGTCTTGTTGTGATTACCATTCTTCATAAATTAGCGTGTCTATATTATTTCTAATATTTTAAATAGTGCTGCAAAATTTGATGTTTATCTTAACCTTGAGAGCATCGAGCTATCTACTCTGCAGTTGATCAAAAATTATATCGCAATTTGACATTATTTTGCAGAAGAAAAATAACCAGAAACTAAAATCTGTCTTTCAACATTTATCAACCCTTTAGTCTGATTAACAGTTTTTTATCGAATTCTGTATTCATAATTTATTCGAGACATTTAATCAAATCCTCTTTATAAACACAAGTATTAGAAATTAAAAATTAAAAAAAAACGACTTCAAAAACGTGCAGATGCCATCATTATATCTTAACCAAATTTATATGGAACCACCCCTGAAGTACCCCCTTACTAACAAAAAAAAAAGAATCATAAATCAGACAAGGTGTTTAAGCATTATCGCTAAACATACATAAAAATGAAGAGTTTGAGGATTTTGGATTCAATTGTTAGATTTTGACCAAATTTATATGGGACTACCACTGAAGTACCCCCTTTCTAACAAAAAAAGAATCATTGAAATCGGACACCGTGTTAAAGAATTATCGCTGAACATACATAAAAAAAAATATATATCGCGACGAATTGAGAACCTCCCTCCTTTTTTGAAGTCGGTTAATAAATAGTATTGACACACTTCGATGTAAAATTCCATCGTGTAGGAGTATTTTAAAGCATACGACTCTGAAGAGAAGGTGTTTGGCAATTTAAAATCTCCCAGCAAAAAATTTCTCTTTTATATTTTCAAATTAGAAAAAATATTTATATCTCTATTTGATAGTTTGTCAACTAAGCCTGGAATTTCCAACGCATACCTTTTTGAGATGAGCAAAATAGAATTTAGTCATCCTTGCCAACAATATGCGAAAATGTACACCATTAAATTATTTATAAGATGCCGCTGCGTACATTCGTATCTGGTCTAGGTAATCTGTGCCATGGGTACAGCACGTCACGATGAGGTAGAACAGCGCCCCGCTTGTAACGTTGATCCATCGCATGTCTTCATCTCTTGCTAAGCGATATTGCCGTTGTCCTTGTTTTTCGCATCATAATGAGAGAGAAAGCAACAGAGGCACACATATACTGTGCCCTGTGCCCACTTAATTTCGGAATTCTCTCAACGCCCGGTCGTCCAGTGTCGTGCCAACGCGGTTTGCGCTGAATATTAGATAAAATAATAATAGCTAGGCATTGATGAAAATATAAAATATGTAATTTTTTTTGTTTTTGGTTCATTATACTAGGGCACGTGCCCAAGTGCCCTTACGGGCAAACCGCCACTGCTAAGCATAATTTAACTCTAATGTGATTTTACAATGAAATAATATACAGTATGAATTTTTTTATATATCCTATTTAAAATTTGTGGTTAGTTCACGAAAACCGACAAAAATGAGGCCATTTCTGTAATTTTGAATGACGTGCAAAACCGACGGTTCTTGCCCACACATTGCCATTTTACCAGAACCGTATTAACCGACGATTAAAAACGGCAGATAAGAACAAAGTGTATGTGGCCTTTAAGAGCCATTAGTTGAGGCTAATGAATTTGACAAGAGAGTGCAGGTGTGTGTACACACTCTTTTACCGATTGTGGCATCAATTTAGCGACTCTGTCCAACCGGTGTATTGAACCGCAACATCATTACTCACCACGTTTGAAGTTTTTTATGCAATATTTGGGACTTACGAAGAAGAAGAAAAAATTATTGATAACCGGCGTTCTAATCATAGATTAGGTTTTAATACCCCAGGTCTGGTAGTGAGTCCTCATGTTGCTATATTAATCGGCGAAAGCGCTAGACTAATTTTAAAAAAGTGGAATTTTTTTTATGCAATTTCTTCTATAAACACTTGATATACAAACTTTTTCATTTTAATCTAATTAATTTTAACTCAAATTATTCTCTCTATAATTAAAAATTGTATTTTTTTTTCATCCGTTATTTTAATAATAGTTTTGGATTATTTTCTAGGTGGTTGGGACGCGGACGGTAAAGGTCCAAACGTTTGGGATAATGTCACGCATGAAAAAACAAGCTTTATCATCGATGGGTCAAACGGTGATATATCATGTGATTCTTATCACAAATATAAGGAAGATATTTTACTATTGAAAGAAATGGGTGCCAATTTCTATAGGTTTTCGATATCTTGGCCTAGAGTACTTCCAACAGGTATATTATATAGTTTGTCTGTAACTAAAATACCTGTAATAAATTTTCAATTGTGTAGGTTTTATTGATAACATCAACCAACCTGGTGTAGATTACTACAAAAATTTAATAAAAGAACTAAAAAGTAACCAAATTGAACCAGTAATCACGATATATCACAACGACCTGCCACAATCTATACAAGACTTGGGAGGAATAAAGAATCCAGAATTTATCAATTGGTTCACTGCGTATGCCAGATTTTGTTTTGAAACTTTCGGTGATGATATTCGCTACTGGTTGACTATAAATGAACCATACGTCGCTTGTACTGTTGGGTTTATTTCCCTGGTGTACGTTGATGGTATCGATGACTATATTTGCATGAAAAATATGTTGATGGCACATGCCAACGCTTGGCATATTTACCACGATGACCTGAAAGGAACTGGTAAGATAAAATCTTGGTATTCTTATAGTAAATGGAGTGCTTTAACAACTCAGTGACTTGACAATTATCTGAATTCGTTATAAAAATGTATTTTTAGGAAAAGTTGGTATAGTTTTAAATTCAAATTGGTTTGAACCCGAAACCGACAGTGCAGAAGACTTGGAAGCTTCTGAGAGAACAATGCAATTTATAGTAAGTTAAATATAAAAAGGACACCTTTTCTTAGTCCATTCTTTGTAATAATATAACTGAGGTAAATTTTTTGTAATAAGAGTAGGATTAGATTTTCCTAAGTATTTTATATTTCTCAACTTTAGAAAACAGGTCCCTTCAGCGATTTTGGTCCATATTTTTCACATTTTTCACATTTTTCACATTTTTCACATTTTTCACATTTTTCACATTTTTCACATTTTTCACATTTTTCACATTTTTCACATTTTTCACATTTTTCACATTTTTCACATTTTTCACATTTTTCACATTTTTCACATTTTTCACATTTTTCACATTTTTCACATTTTTCACATTTTTCACATTTTTCACATTTTTCACATTTTTCACATTTTTCACATTTTTCACATTTTTCACATTTTTCACATTTTTCACATTTTTCACATTTTTCACATTTTTCACATTTTTCACATTTTTCACATTTTTCACATTTTTCACATTTTTCACATTTTTCACATTTTTCACATTTTTCACATTTTTCACATTTTTCACATTTTTCACATTTTTCACATTTTTCACATTTTTCACATTTTTCACATTTTTCACATTTTTCACATTTTTCACATTTTTCACATTTTTCACATTTTTCACATTTTTCACATTTTTCACATTTTTCACATTTTTCACATTTTTCACATTTTTCACATTTTTCACATTTTTCACATTTTTCACATTTTTCACATTTTTCACATTTTTCACATTTTTCACATTTTTCACATTTTTCACATTTTTCACATTTTTCACTGATAGTAATTCTCCGTTATTATATCCGTCAGTTAGGTATCTGGAACTATATCTATAGATGAAAAGACTGACCCTATTACGGAATTGCTTACCTTTACGTAATTTTTTGTCACGTTTTTCTCCTAATATAAATATTCTGACGTAATAATTGCCTGCAGGTACTCACCCTTTCAGCCTAAACTGTGAGCGTCACATTCCTATCTGATAGAACTGTGTACTTTAGTTTTAGAATCATAATGGTGGACTCATTATGTATCCCTAGTAAAGTACTATTAAAATAATATTCTTTGTTACGCCAATGCATTTGCAATTAACCCTCACAAATAGTGAGTGCTTTGAGGTAATGTTGAGATAATGTTGAGATAACTGTATTATGTGATACACTTAAATTAACGGTACAATATAGGTATAATACAGTAGACTCTAATGTAGATATCACATCTTGAGGAGTTATAGTAGATGTCATGCTTGTTTTCTGCATATTATATTACCACTCTTTGCTCAACTGGATCCTGTGTATATTCTATATTTCTATTGTGCAAATATTTCAAGCTGACGGACTCCTAATGCAAATAGGTCAGTGATGAAGCGGATCAACCCTCGTATAGTGAGTTAAAGATGTCAACTGACTTAACTATCCTTTTATTTTTAGTGGGGATGGTTAGGACATCCCTTGTACCACGGCGACTATCCTGAAATAATGAAAATACGAGTAGCTAATCGTAGTAAATTAGAAGGTTTCAACGAGTCTAGAATTCAGGAGCTGACTAATGCGGAAATAGAATACGTAAAGGGTACAAATGATTTTTTCGCTTTTAATTCTTACACTTCGTCAATTGTAAGGTCTGGTCCTGATGCTCCAATCGGGACACCAAGTCACAATGACGACTTGGGGGTTTACATCTACCAACCCGATGAATGGAGAAATTCCTCTTTATCATGGCTGAAGGTATGACAGAGACTTTTTTTAAATTAAAGTGGTATCGGTTTAAGGAAAAACCACTGTAAAATATTATTGATCGTTATCATGATTTTTACTGATAAATCAATTTTAGGTGACTCCATGGGGAATGAGAAAACTACTAAACTGGATTAAAAATGAATATTCCAATCCCCCAATGTTGATATCAGAAAATGGTGTCGCTGACGGTCCCGGTCAATTAAATGACACAATCAGATATAATTATATCAGGGTAAGTTAATCAAAGATAGATATATACTAAAAGCAGTGTAAGTTTTTGGAGGTGAAATTTGGGCTAAAGTTATATTATGCTATGCATGTATCTATTGTACAATTTTTTGTCGAAATACCGTTTTTATAATTTACTTGTACAATCCCTCAAACATAATATTTGGCATCACTGGTCTTTTTACAAACGACGTAGACCTGTAGTTAACATCTGAGACGCTAGACGACGCCATCGTTGCTGCAGTCGTTGTGTTTCCAATCTTTATATCCCTAATCTCTGATTTCATGTTTATCAAAAAGTGGCTTACATGACTCGAGATTATTTACTTCATATTATAAGTGTTCTAGATTAAATAAAGGTAACTAAATTGTTAGTAACTTTTAATTAAACATATACCAATAAGAAACTGCTACATTTAAGATGAAGCAACAAGTAACAATACATGAACATGAAATACAATAACATTTAGAACCTAAAATGGATGTTTGACATGACATGGACAACTGACGACTCTATGGGCTTGTTCCATTTGTTCATTCCAAACATTCCACAAAAAAATTGTATTGCTCATTTTTGCACAATAACACAATAATGAACAACTCACGGCTACAACCTCCCCAAAATGCAGTTTCAAATCCTAAATGGGGCACAATTAGAGCGTAATATACACTTAGCTGTTTTAAAAACTATTTCTTTTGTCATAGTTCTGACTGCAAAACATCCAAGAGAAAGTTTTTTGTTTAGCAATATAGTTCTTAAAGTTCTAATTATTGTCTAAATTAATGTTAAAAAATTTGATTGTATCAGTACATATAATGAAATTACTTTACTGTTAAGCTTAGAATTTTGTTTTTTCTCATATTTAGATACAAATAGTCGGCGTCACATTATGCTTTGATTTTTTAACATCAATGTTAGTGTCATCAGCAACTAAAATAAAATTACTTGCATGCTAAGGCATTTATATAAAGAAGGAATAAAATGTCACCTAACACATATCCCCAGGAACTCTCCAACTTATACCTAAAACATGACAGACCTTCGTAACTCGTACCATTTACTTCTAAAAAAATTTAACTTTACCCAACTCTTCGATTCCGTAAACACGGTTTTTGAAACAATACTATATAAGTGACACTTAACACAATTAAATGCCTTAGTTAAATCACAGAATATCTCCTCTAGAACTTCTTTAAAAATAATTTTAGAATAAGTAAGTTCAAGATAGAAAAATATCATAACAACATGCGAGAGGGCGAGGCGATCCAGTTCTGATAATTGACATAGGCAACCAATCACGCATATGTGTAATTTTCGATGGATTTTCTACAAATACTCCGTAATGCGCATTCGTTGTATTGCCTCTAAATATAGCACACTGTGTCATTTTTGTTTACTTCGGCAGAATTTTTTAGTGTTCCACTGGTGGGGACTTCAGTGGTAATAACATAGAGTATACAGCTTCGTCTACGATAGTTAATTACTATTATTCTGTATTTGCCTCTCCCAATACTTTGATGAAACTTAATAATTTAGCTCATCCAACAAACAAATTTGAGGGACGCAGAGACGTTAGTAAATCTTAATAACATGGCGTCAAGTGTTTTTACTTCTCGTTTACTTTTATTTAACGGTTATACAGAAATACTTTTAAATATCCTTAAAAATATCCTCAATACTTTTAAGAAACCTTCTTTTCTAAAATTGTCCATGCACGGTTTAGTATGAGCATCTGCAAAAATTAAAAAAAAAACGGTGCTTCAATTTGCTAAATCAATAATATTATTGTTGCCAATCGGAAATACAGTAACAACAAAAAAAGTAGTCGCAATAGATACATTACGTCATGTATCATTTACAAAGTTTAAACATTATCATCGTTTTCGTTTTAAAGATAAACAATCCTTAAAAGTATGTAAAATTAATTATTGTGTATTATCCTTTTTCTTGCAGGATTATTTAAGCAACATTCGAGATGCAATGGAATATGACGGCGCTAATGTCATTGGGTATTCGTACTGGGCTCTTCTTGATACTTTCGAATGGACTGCAGGATACACGTAAGATTTGTTCGGATATTTTATACAATTATGACTTCTGGAAAATATTCTGAAATTTGTCCAGTTTTATTTTTAAACGAGCGTCAGATATTTCTTTTATTCGTGACGTCATCTGTGGAAGTGTGACTGATTACGTAATCAGTGATTTTTTTAATAGAAATTTGGTTCATGAGATATATTGTTTAATAGGTCTTTTAATTATCTATACAATTATATCAGTAGGTTTAAATAATTTAGGATTTTACACTGTCAAAAAAAAACTTTACAAAATTACAACAGAAATAGCTTTTCAAATAATAATTTTCAACTTTCTGTAAATACTCAAAAAATAAATTTAATACATACCGTCACTTGGAAAAAAAAATGTTACTTACTTGACTGGTCAACTAACAAGTATTAGAAATTAAAATTTTTTAAAAAACCGACTTCAAAAACGTGCAGATGCCATCACCACATCTTAACCACCCCTGATGTACCCCCTTACTAATAAAAAAGAATCATATAAATCGGATAAGGTGGTAAAGCAGTATCGCTAAACATACATAAAAAATGAAGAGTTTGAAGATTTTCTCATGGACTCCATTATTAGATTTTAACTAAATTTTTATGGGGCCACTCCTGAAGTACCCCCTTTCTAACAAAAAAAGAATCATTGAAATCGGACACCGTGATAAAGAATAATCGCTGAACATACATAAAAAAAAAATATCGCGACGAATTGATAACCTCCTCCTTTTTTGAAGTCGGTTAAAAATGATAATAATAGTATAATAGATTGTATTTAAAAAGCCTTTTTATTTAAAATTGAAACGCAAATAATAGAAATTTAAATTTTGACGATTGATTCTAAAAACAAAACAAGATCAAGGGAAGAAGTTTGTACTTTAGTCAACAATAAATATTCCAAATTTCGTCATCCACCACAAGCGAGATTGAGAAAAAGTTCAAAGAAACTAGATGTTCTATTAGCGTTTGAAGAGAATCCATACCAGCATTAGAATATAACATGAACTATTTAATAGTTTTTAGAACGCTAAAAAAAGCAAAAGATGCATCTTTATAAAGATATTTTAGTTCAGAGCTCCTGGTAAAAGATTTTCTTTTACCTCTCCTAAGCAATATGTCCGAAATTGATATAGATGAAACTATAGGATAGCATAATAACGATTATGCAGACGAAAATGATAGTAAAGGAGAAGATTTTGAATTAGAAGGTAACATGAATGAAGTTCTTTTGTGTGTTTCTTTGGACCTATAGGACGAAGAAAAAAGAATGGACTCTCTGTATCTCTAACGTGTGGAGGGTGGGTTACTCCACGGCCCTTAGGCCTCATTAGGCCCATTGTACATTTTCCTGAGATGATAGGCACCTCCTAGCTCGTGAACCAGCCTACAGATTTAATGTAGTTAACAACGTCGCCAAGAGGTGCTTCTCTTATATCGGCCTGTCGATACTCGCCGAACACAAATCTTCTAATAAATGAGAGCGTCGAGCATTCGTAAAGGATACGTTCGATGGTCTCATCTTCTTGTTCGCACCCTCTGCAGAGTGCGGATTCTGACAGCCCCATGATATGGAGATGCTTTCGTACTTGGCAGTGACCAGTCAGAATTCCTGTGACTAGGCGCAGATTCTGTCTAGTCATAGTCAAGTATTTGTTTGCTGCGGTATTGTCAGGATAACTTAAGAGTTTCCTGACAACTCTGCACTTTCTGGTTTCATCCCATCCTTCCTTGAATTTCACAAGGGAATGTTCTTTGATTAGGCCTGTCACTACCGATTTTGTCAGGCCAATAGAAGGGCCAGGTATAAAAAGCATTTGGTTGGCTACTTTCTTGGCTAGTGAATCATCAAGATGGTTATCTTTTGATGTGGCGTGACCTGGAATCCACCTTAAGGTGGCCACATTGTTGGCGGATACTTCGGCCAAAGCTTCGTGACATTCTAGTACTAACCCTGAATAAATTCGTGGTCTGTTCAGGGTAAGTAGTGCTTGTCTGCTATCTGTATAGATAAGCATGTTCCTTCCAGTTCCTTCCGGTTATTTATTTTGCTGCTATGAGAATCCCCTTTAGCTCTGTTTGATCGACACTGACACTATTGCTCATAGCCCATTTTATGTTTAGGAATCTGGAGTATATTCCACATCCTGAACCTTGTTTTGGTTTAGAACCGTCGGTGTAGATATGAATCGTACCTGCCACTTCCGGCTCTTCTATTTGTTCTATTATAACTTTATATGGCTTTTGAAAGATATATTTCGATGAGATGGAGTTTATGTTTGCTTGAAGCAGTGGTAGCGTATCGAGCGCCTCCTGACAAAAGTGACGTCTCGCCTCACCAGATCCTATTCCCACCGTGCGAAGGCGTGTCATTGTCATAAGAGCAACCTCCTTGATGTAAATATCAAGGGAAGTGAGACTAAGCATGACTTTCATGGCTCTAGTCGGTGTTGTTTTCATGGGTCCTGTTATGTTGAGACATGCTGTTCTTTGAATTTGTTCTAGTTTACGGATAGCTGTTAATTTTTGAGTTTTCGGTACCCTGACAACTGCACCATATGTTAGCCGTGTAAGTACATGCGACGACTCTGGGGGAGAAACCACAGGTGCGCCCCACGGTTCGGCGGTATTGTTCATAAGTAAAGTATGCTCTTTTAACTCTGTTTTCTAAATGCGAGTTCCATGTTAACTTGCTGTCAAAGGTAAGACCTAGGTACTTCACCTCTGTTGCAAAGTTAAGTTTTGTGTTTAGGAGTTGTGGAGGTTTTAATTCCATTTTCATCCTTTTCCTTGTGAAAAGGACCATTTCTGGCTTATTACGATTGATAGACAGTGAATGGTCCTTGCACTACTGTTTTATAAGTTTTAGAGCTACTTGCATTCTTTCGCAGAGTACGTTCTCAAAATTCCCTGTTTGCAGAATGACCAGGTCATCTGCATCTGCTGTTGTGTAGTGACTGTCATTATTAAGGCGGCTGATGAGGGTGTCAAAGACCATATTCCACAGTAGAGGTGATAGCACCACTCCCTGTGGACATCCCCTCGCAACCAAGCCTCTTATATTCACATTTTCTACACTTATGTTTACAAATGGACTAAAATGAAGAAAAAACATTAATCTTTTAAAAACTCGTGAACTATTCATTTAGCGTTTGGGAGTGGCTTAGTTCTTCTTAGACTATTCGAATGTAACTACTATAAAACTATTTAGTGTTTCGTTGACTGAAAATACGTTGGATCACATAGTGTTTCAAACTAACTTACATGCTGAGCAACATTCATTGGTAACAGGAAAATAATAAAGATAAAATTAAAATGTGTATAGGAAATATTCTACTAATGGGTGTATGATCCATTTGTTTATCATTGTAGGCTTTTACATCGTTTGGGTTGGCTTCTAACCTATTTACATTAAAAGTCAATTCAGTTATGCCTCCAAGAGGAAGTCCGAATTTCGGCAAGTTGTATAAACTGCGACCTTTTCTCGAAGCCTTGTTTTTTCTTGATCCTAATGAACGCTTAGCATTTGACGACTTAATGATTAAGTTCAAAGGACGAAACAGTTTAAAGCAATATTTACCCAAGGAACCTATAAAACAAGGGTATAAAGTTTGCATGATATGGGACCAAACTAATTACTGCTATGATTTTAAAATCAATACCGGAAAGCAAGGTGACCAAAAAGGAAACAAATTTGGGACTAACAGTTGTTCAGAATTTAACTCGCAGTATCCAGAATAAATATCATTTGGGATTTTTTGATAATTACTTTAATTCTGTATATTTTCTTACAACATTGTTGAAGAAACAATGTATGTAATAAATATATTATCTCCTAAAAGACGTGACATTCCAAATACACAACTCAAAACTGACCGACAGCTTAGAAGAGGTCAACATGATTGGTTTTTTAGTAGATATACAAAAGAAGTGTGCATTTTATGTCAAACTATATTGATCCAATGCAGGTGATTACTGTAAAGCGAAAACATAGAGATGGTAAAGTGATATAAATACCCCAAATCATCTGACAAAAGAGTATCGCATTTTTAGTTACAGTTTGCACGTGTCTTTTGATTTCAGTTGCGCTTTGTTGTTGTTTAGCAGCATACATTTTATTGAGGTGCGTTTACGCACGAATGCAAGAAGTCACTTTAAAAAATTAGGATTACGTTTTATATTTTGTCTACAAATACTAGAAAAATTTAATTTTGTACTTAAAAATAAATTTCCCAGCTGAACATTGGTTTTTAGCGTTTTTCGAATTTTTAAAGATAATCCAAAACAGGTGCAAATTCGTGAAATATATACATTAAAAAAAAAATATTATAACAAGAGGCACAGAAAATACTTATATTGTATAATTTATCTACATTTTTTTAATCAATATCATTTTCTTCACAACTGGATTCAGACCCATCACTACTTGCCGTTGTATCTAAATTAATAATAATATATCAGAATCATCTTGCTAGTATTTTTCCCAATCGGAAATAATTATGTTTTTAGTATATCTTACATAATTGTATCAGTAACAATATTCAAAGCTTCTGACTAAGTCTGAAATACATCTTTTGGTGAAGACTTTGTTGTTAAAATTTTTTCGTCTTAAAACCATTTGCACTAACCACACCTTCTCTGTCGCACTTCAGTGGCATTAATATGGAGGAGTTCCTAATATTGTATGCCTCTATTCCTCAACATATCTATCTAGCTGTAATTGTTTTCGTGATAGATTTTGACGTACAACTTTCCAAATCTGATATTTCATACCATTGATTGGATAATTAATGATTTTTTTCTGAAACCATTTTATCATTTTATTTTTTATCCAACTATAATATGGAATTGCGTACCGCGAATGATAAAACTGGAATGATCGATTATAATCAAAGAAGGACGTTCCAGACTAGGTATACATTTCGTCTTAAACCATTTTTCAAAATTTTCTGTGTTCATATTATTACGGAAATTCCAGCTTTTTTGACTTTTAAATATGAGGTCTACATTTTGTAGAAACCCTTCTTCAGTGCCACTTCTATGTATCGAATTTCATCTGCTGTTTTTTACTTGCAGTAGCCATCGTTCCATTTTACCAACTTTTTCTTTTACTTCCATTGCTATATACTCACGTCTCATCCATAAATACAGGCTTAAAGTTACCCAGCTTTATATCTTTGACGAAGTTTTTCAAAAAAAATATTATTTTTAACTGTATTAATGTTCGTTACAATAAAAATTGTCTGTTGATACTTCTTTTAAAGCGAAATCCAGTTTTTCCAATCCATATATCAACTAACCGTGCAGAACATTTCACGTCAGGTATTTCTCCTGAAAATCGTTTATGTAACGATCTTATTGTTACATGTTGCGCACCTTCGTATATATTATGTATAACTTGCCTTAACTTACTTAATAATTAAGAATTGACTTTTGTTTTACTTTGGCTTACTTTTTTTAGACAGTATTTTTACATACTCTATATAAGAATTTATTGGTTTACTAAGTCTATAGGTAGTTTTCTGCTAAATATTTAATGCCTCTGCAGCCATTTGATTGTAACTTTCCAAGAGCCTCGCAAATAGATTTGTGTCTCTTAAAATAAGAAATACGTTTAGGATTAAAGTTTTTGATTAATTACTAAATCGATTCATTATTTTGTTGAATTTTTGAAATATTAAAATATACAAATTTTTAACATTGACAAATTGAAAATTATTTTAAAAACTGCCACCTGACATAATAACATGATGTAATTAATCTGCGGAGGGCCAAAATCTAGTAAATTTTTGTTTTATCCATTTTACTTTTAAACAATTAAGTGAACGAATGGATTTGGGGTACTTCTGAGACTTTACGTAAAATCTGACAGAAGGCGCGTTTAAAAATGAAAATCAGCGGGAATTTATTTATTTCATTCACGCCATATTCTGAAACACATTAGAGGCTTCATGGCACAATTATTTCCTAAACATTTTTGCTTCATTTGCTTTAATATTTTGAAACTCTATTCTGTAGCTTTTGACATCTTACCTCAACCTACCTGTTCCACCTTTCTCTAGGTCTTCTTTTTTCTTAAAATAACTCCTACCATCTGATCTTCTGATTAAAGAATATTTTAAATTTCTTACGCTTTATAATTTTTTTACAACAAAAAATTACGGAATTAGAGGATTACCCAAATTATACTTTTATGTTAAATAAATGCTTTTTATTTTAGGGCTAAATTTGGACTAATAAGCGTTAACTTTGACGATCCAGCTAGGCCAAGAACAAGGAAAATGTCTTCTTATTATTACGAAAAGATCATGAAAACTAAATGCTTGGTAGATGAATGTGAAGATGAAATATGAAAAACTAAATATTTTATTTGCAAATTTGTTAAAAATATAATCAAAAGTCACCAAATACAAATGTAATTTTAAACAAAAAATTTTGTTTTTGTTAAATATATCGACAACCGTTTAAGCTACGGGCGGCGTCAAACTTTTCTCGATGATCTATATAAAATTGTATTCAACAAATAAAAGGCCTATGGGACAAATTCCACAAACAGAAAAAGGTGAAAAATTAATGTTTTTCTAATTAATGTCCTTCATCAGTACTGTGCCAGCTAAGCTCAAAAGAGCATGGAACTTGTAATAAAATTCAAATAAACAATAATATGAGATTTTTCAGCATTACTAACATAAAAATCTGATGTGTCCAACACATGACTTTCCTATCTAGTTATTATAGGCTTTTTCCGGTTATTTTGTACAACCTATTGCAGCATCTCTATAAATGTTTAGAGGATAAACTAAATATATACATTGTCCACATACATCTACCTCGAAACATTTTTCTATAGATATTCATGGAAAACGAAAATACTGAAAAATTAAAATTTCCTACAATTTTTTCATTACGGTCCATTTTAGAAAAATCATGTATAAACAAAAATTATAGAGATCGATATCGCAAACAACTTTTATTTCAAAAACTTTCATAAAAATCAGAATTTTGCACATTTTGTCAAATTTCTCGAATACGGACTATTTCAGGAAATTTTTACATAAAACAAAAATTATAGATAATAATATAAGAAGTAACTTTTATTTGATTAATTTTTTTCTCCAAACATTAATAACAGATATATTCCATAAAATATAAAACTGGCCTCCCATAAAATACCCCCCCAGATGTTCCGACTATGTCCAAAATCTAATCATTTCACGTCAGGCCGAAATAAAACTTAAGTTTAAAATTTAATGTTTTTTTTTATCCGATTTTGAGTTTTCTTCAAAATTCGAAATTTACACATTTTCTCAAATATCTCGAATACGGTCCATTTTAGAGAAATTATGTAAATAATAAAAATTATGGAGAATTATATTACAAACAACTTTTATTTAAACAATTTTTATAAAAAAATATTTTTTTTACATTTTGTCAAATTTCTCGAATACGGACCATTTTAGGAAAATTTTGTATAGAACAAAAATTATAGATATTAATATTAGAAGTAACTTTTATTTAAAAAATTTTCTTCTCCAAACGTAAATAACAGATTTATTCCATAAAATATAAAAATGAATAAAGTACCCCCCCCAAATGTTCCGACTCTGCCCAAAATCTAATCAACTCATTGGACGCTGAAACAAAGCTTAAGTTTAAAATTTGGTGTTTTTCTGTGTATCGGTTCATGAGTTATGCGTTATACAGACACACACACACACACACACACACACACACACACACACACACACACACACACACACACACACACACACACACACACACACACACACACACACACACACACACACACACACACACACACACACACACACACACACACACACACACACACACACACACACACACACACACACACACACACACACACACACACACACACACACACACACACACACACACACACACACACACACACACACACACACACACACACACACACACACACACACACATACACACCGGGAAATCATTGTGCGGCCACATGACACTGACGTGAATTATGGGGACAATGAAATTTCTGCATGTACTTTATGTAGAATCTTTTAATCTATTTATAGCTATTTGAATTATTTAGATACACTCCTTCTTTTGCCATTTTTTATGCTAACAGACTTAGGGGGTCAGTCCTCTTAAAGATAGATATGGTTATATATTACGGTATAATGTCTAATGTGGCCATACACACTCCCTTACACACTTTTTTGTCAAGGTCGCGCTTTTTATAGGAAATTAAGTTATTACCAACATAATGGGGTCATACACACACATTGTTGTCACATCATTTGAAGACTCGTTAAGAATAAGGTAAATTTCGCAACTACTACCTTTACTGAGAAGAACAATACTTAAGTGTTTATAAATTATTAGACTTCATATGGATTAAGAGTTTTCAGTTTTAAAATAATACTCTATCTACTCTTGAAACATTAAAGCGATGCCATTTTAGATTAAATTAGAAAGTTAAAGTTTTTCCAACAAAGAATAATAATATGTTGGATAGAACTGGGTTTAAATAACTAGACAAAAAAATCTGATGTGTCCAACACATGATTTTCTTATCTACAGTCTGTTCGCTATACTTACGCGGGTTTCGGATTAATTATTTAATTATTAGTAACAAATTTAGTACCTACCCTAATGTTATTTTAATTTAAATCTGACCATTAGGGCAATTTTACCTAATTTCTTGGGAAGAGGCTTATTGGAACTGGTTGTCAATGACTAATTTGCATAATTTTGTTAATCCGAAACCCGCGTATTGCGAACAGACTATAGTTATTATAGGCTTTTTCCGGTTATTTTTTACAACCTATTGCAGCACCTCTAAAAATGTTTAGAGGATAAACTAAATATATTCATTTTTCACATACATCTAACTTGAAAAATTTACAGATAGGAAAGTAATAAGTCATTTGAAAATTTTAATGTCCGAAATTTCAAACATAGCTGAATTTGAGATGTATGTTTAACTTCAAGGCAAGGGGGTTCAGCTTAATCAGGTTGACAACTAATTGTCTATCGAAATCCGAAGTCAAGCAGGGTCCAGCGAGGTTAGTAGTTGGATGCATACTATATGGGGAAAACCGTAGCTCGTATAATTACAGCGTAGTAGCGTAGTTGCGTAATAGCCACAGCTCGTAGGTACTATATCATTAAGTACGAGGAATATTGAGGATGGTAGCAGATATAAACCAATGTTTTTTTTATTTTAAAACATGCTTCAATAGTAGTTTCTGCAACAAGGGTGGATATGATGGCCATTATCGCACGAGAACGAAATTTGAGCACGAAACTTTTTTTATATAGGATCTGTGATCGATCGGTAGAACTTTTGTTTTCAACGCGGTGGGCCAGGGATCGATTCTGCCCCATAACTTTTTTTTTTCGTGATATAGTCAATCTGTATACAACTCGACAATTAAAAATTCTCAAAACTCAACGTATTGCCTAACAAAACGTCAGGCAATTCGTCTCGTATAATCGAGAATTTTCAGTTGTCTAGTTGTATAATGTATGACAATTAGTTTAACAGATTTCATTTTCATGCAGTTTTCTTACAAGTAGAATGGTTATGAAATATATTAGTTCAGTTGAACACAACGGCATACTTTTTTGTTTTATATTCTGTGCGTAGATTAGCTAATTACTATGTGGTTGTAGAAAAACGTATTTATTTTGCAATTTTAAAATTTTTATGTCCGATATTTCAAAGAGCTGAACTTTAGATATTTATGTTTAATTTCACTTGTTTTTCTTTTTTCTTTGTCAGTACTACGATTACCTACAAGATGTCGATTAATTAAAATGAACACAACTTTGGGAAGTTCCATTTACAATATAATTAATTATTATATAATAATAATATAATATACAGGGTGTTATTGAAATACACGTACATATTAAAACTGGGTATTGCGCAGATCCCCACTGAATGTAGAAAAATATTATTTTTTTAAAAATACCCCTTATTAAGGGAGTTATTAATTTTTGAAAATTAATTCTAAAACAAACGTACTTCACTGATATGTTGAGGATGACCTATATAAATTAGGTTTATTAACCTATTTTAAACATCAACAGTAATTAATATGCAAGTTTTTGTCAGATGATAAGAAAACTAGTCTTGTAAGAAATAACCATGTTGCTAAGATTTTCGAATTAATTTCTATTTCCGAAGACTGGTTTTTACTACCCTCGTTATCAAAAAACTAGAATATTTGATAAATGATTGTTTTTAAACTATACATTTTTGAAACTATAGATTATTAAAATTTTAGTTGATTTACGAATCTGGCTAACACGAGCGCGTCATTTCCAAGTTGGTAAAAAGTGTTGTTACGATTACTTTTAAATATTTTTTTACGATGCCACTATTTACGAATATTGAACTAACGGATATAGTGCTGGTTTATGGGGCAGCTGGAGAAAATTCTCGGCAAGCACAAATCCTGTATCGCGAACGGTTTCCAAATCGGAGAATTCCGGACTGTCGTACGTTTATTTCAACTGTTCAGCATCTAAGAGACCATGGAAAATTTGAGAGTGTCAATGCAGATCGAGGGAGAACAAGAACACAAAGAACATTGGCGGCCGAAGAAGAAATATTGGAAGCTGTTGAAAACCGGCCTCAATTAAGTTGTAGAAGACTAGGTCTTGAAATTGGAGTGTCCTCATTTGTTGTGTGGCGGACACTTAAAGAACATCCTTATCACGTCCCATAACAAGTTCGTCTTCATGGGACTGCCCTCAATTTATTTTCCACAATATAAATATGTGTGAAATAAAGTTCATCTTTATTGTGATTTCTTTTTTTTTATATCATGTATTTAATTAATTTTAAGATTGTATGTATATTGTTATTTGGGAAATAAATTATTATTATTATCACATCCAAAAAGTACAGGCCTTATATCCAGGTGATGAAGAAAAGAGAGTGGAGTTTTGTGAATGGATGATTCAAAAATGTGTTGATATTCCTGATTTTCTAAAAATATTATTGTATACTGACGAGGCTTCATTCACTCGTGATGGCGTGTTCAATATGCACAATACGCATATTTGGAGTGATGAAAATCCTCACGCCATTAGGGAAACTGGGCACCAAAGAAAATTTTCAATAAATGTTTGGGCTGGCATAATAGATCAGTATTTAATCGGGCCTTATGTTCTCCCGAACAGATTAAATGGGCCAGGATATCTCCACTTTTTAGAAGATATTTTGCCAGTACTCCTAGAAGAGATACCGTTACAATTAAGGCAACGGATGTGGTACCTACTAGATGGCGCTCCTCCTCACTTTGATTTAAACGTATGGCAGTTTTTGAACATTAGATTTCCTCAAAAGTGGATAGGCAGAAATGGACCTACTAAGTGGCCTCCGAGATCTCCGGACTTAAATCCATGCGA